AAATGAAGTGTTCAAACCATCAAGCATGGTTGTTATGAAAACAGTAAAAACATTATTGTTGGCAGCTTTAAGATTACACTAAACATACTACTGATAGCTATGATTAGTTGAAAAATTTTTTGCAAAAACACTGTCAATTGCTTCAGCCTGTAAACATTTCTTAACTTAGGCGGTTTTCTTTTAAAATGAATGGTTCAACTGAACATGATATGTAAAGCACTTCAAGCCTGCACTTCCATCGGTTCACACGTTAATGACCATTAAATGATGTTTAACATTATGGACAAATCTTTATCCTTGCTTATGACCATTACTAAAGTATTTCAACCTTAAGCATCAGCTACATGACCCTTGTTGAAGTGATTTCGAGAGTGATATTTGTATTGAATAACTCATTATTTCGGTGACTACTTCTTGAAATCAGTCAGTTTCTCTTGATGTTGTTTATTTTGTCCAGTTGAGTTAGAACAATGGTTTAGTGTGTATTTCCTCAGAAGGGAGTTGTTGTGCACTGCTTATGTTATTACTAGCTGCCAAATAGGTTGATTTGTACCTTGTAGTAACGTTGTATAACATGATAATCTCATCACAAACTTAATCTCTAGGCTCTCCGTCTTCCTTATGTGGTTGCTTCATTCTGGTACTGCGAATGAATAAAGCACTTTAGATTTATCCTTAAAACAAGTTTTATATTTTCTAACTTTAACTGTATAAAGGGCACCTTTTGTCCACTCACGCCTTGAAATGTCACCTTCGGTTCTCTAGTGAAAGTAAGTTAATGCAGAAGTTAGGAAAAAAGTTTTCTATGCAATGCGTAACGATTGTGGAATTCTTTTTATCACTAAGTTTCATCATTCAGACAACTAATGAGTCTTAGAAGGCGTTGGATCGATCTCATGAAGTAGTGTTTAGATTTTGTAGTGAAGCCTACAAAATACATGTCATATTCAGTTCAGAAACTTTAATTTTTCACTAAGGATGTGGTACAGTTCAGCCACTCTATTATAATGCAATGGGTTATATTTTCCAACTCCAGTCAGTTCTCAATAACTGGTAATTATCATCATAAGAGTCAGAGGATATCCATGCGTACAAGTCATGATCAGCTAGTAAATCTTCAAGATGTTTGACACAAAAACCTTGGATTAAGTTGCAGGAAAAACTATCACTTGGTTGGGTATATCAAAACAATGCTTCCTCAGTATGGTTTACGAATTTCATAAGATATTCAATGCAACAAAGGATAATTCAAGAAACCCTTTGAGAATTTCCGCAAAATGTATTATAGTAAACACTAGCATTGACTTTCTAATTGCTTACAATAGCACATAAGACTATTGAACAATGAATCAAGTGAAGAAGTTACTACAACTTCTAAAACCATAGGTCAAGATAAGCTGGAAAATAGATGAACTTTTTAAAGTATGCTGGAATTAGGAAGACTGGTTCCAAATTCAAGTAGTAATTTATGAATAAAGAAGAAGTTAATCAGTGAAGAGGTAAGGAAATATGAAAATCATAAAGATAATACCGAAATAAAGGATCCGTGTTGACTGTAAAATTGAAACCAGCCTGAATTAAACACAGCTATGCATAACAAACATTGCCTTTTTAAGGAATATAATATTATGAACATAATGGTTAGTGGATTAATTTGGAGGTCTTAACTTTTGATTCAGGATAACACTAGTTTCACCATCAATGAAACTATCTTATGCTCAGAACTATAAAAAAACTTCAGTTTTTGGTTTCGTCAACTAACAGGAGGGATTACAATAGTGATATATAGGAATGCTACGCCATATAACATAACTAACGTTATTAGCTCTCTCACCTTCTTGTTCTGTTATATTCTTCAAAAATGTTTTATCTAGTAAGTATGAAATTAACTTTAGTATGTCCTTGACAATCTTGTAGCTACTGACAAGCAATAAGAAGCAATGAAAGGAATTGTAGGCTATTCAAATAATGATTCTTATGGTCTAACTTTCTGATCTGATGAGAATCTTGGTCGATTGCAGAACATAAGTTTTGGTATCCTGCTTCTTGTTAACTTTTAATCATTAGGGCTAACAAACAATTAGGCTTTTTTGTTATGTGAATAATTTAAAATGTCTATACAGCATTTAAGGCTGGGAAATTGAGTGGGCAGACGAAATTATCACTTTGAGAAAGTCCTCAGGACTTTTACACTGATTATTGATGGATAGTGGCAAGCAGTGGAGTCCAGAACGCGCGTTTCATTCTGTTTGGGACTCGTCAGTTGGATGCACCTGCTTTCTAGTGAGCGATGTTATTCCCACTAACATCTAGGACCGATCACTTCAAACGCCAGAGCGTTATCCTCCAGGCCACTGAGTCATTATAACCGTTTCTTGTGCAACAGGTATAGTTTTCATGTTATTACTCAAATTATCGTGTCGTTGATTGGATCAAATTGATCGAAGCCCATATTCCAATACAGACCGATCAGTTTGGTTCAATCAACGAGGGAATAATACAGGTTACACCATTTTACACTGATTATTAGCATTATGTCAAGAAATTTATGGCAACTAGGTTTATTTGTGAATTTCATGTTACCTGAAAAATCAATAAATGTGTATATATACAATAGAGAAATGAATAAAATGAATATTTTAATTATTTTCTGCCACGCCCAGATTCAGAAGGAAATGAGAAAGTTCTATTTAAAATGTATCATATAAAGCAATTCCCAAAAAAGTAGAGGCTTAGAAAAGATACGCCCCCTACTTGGTAAACATGATATTCTATAAAGCATGAAAGTGTACAATTCTAGAGTACTCATCAACCGAAAAACAAAAGGTTCGTATGGAATCCAAGCAGAATGTCTAAGTATCTATTAAAACTGCTTTTTAAAAGCTTTCATAAGAGTCATAAAGCGTTGTTGACGTAAGTACAATATGTCAAGCTAGGAAAGACGTACAATTTTAGGTGGAATAGTAGAAAGCAATGTCAGTAATTTAGAGCTATTCATAATTTCTGGTGACATTCACTAGTAAAATTACGAATAAACAGGGAGTGAGGTGGTTTTATTCATCCATTTCTAGGCAGCCATGATAAGCTAATCTACCATAATGTGGTCAGTGTTTATAAACAAAGGGATTGATGTTGATGAAAGCGATATGTTGGCTTTCCAATCACTATGGTTCCGGAATAAGTGAGACTTTTATGCAGATTTTTATTATCGTTTATATTGGGTGTTAAAATAACACCTAAGTGACGCCACAGATGAATGACTACTAAGGAATATAACTTACAAAACAAAGTGTTTAGAATGCATGATATTGAGGGGAAATTATAATGATCAGTTTTGGCCAAGTTCCAACTTCTTATTTGAATTTCTGTCTCTTCTTTCACTCTTCTTCTCCTTCTCGCTCTCACCCTCTGAAATAGATGACATTCTTAAACCCTGCATTAGACATAAACCTAATGACTCTTACTTGTTTATGATGGCATTCTTTGAGTCTTCTTAGAAAAACTGTCTGAGTTTTCAACCACAGTACAACCACAGCACAAGAGGTGGCCATCGTAACCCACTAGCCTATTGGATAACTTCTTGGCATTTGAAACGATGAGTACTGGGTTCGAGTCCCAGTGGGAACAACATCACACGCTAGGTTGCAGGTATATCCGGCTGACGAAACGCATGTCTTGGATTACGCTGTTAACCATCAAACAGGTTACAACATGATGAGCGATCACGTAGAATCGAAACATCCACGTGGGAGGCCATCTGCTAAAAGTGGTCAAGGAGTCGGATCCAATATAGCAAGGATAACTTTTCGTTGTCCAAACTGTATATAATTTTAATAGACATATTTTTCCGTTATTACTTATTCGAAGGTGAAAGATATTATGTATTGTATATGCTGTTGTTAACTTCGGTGCCAATTTGTTTCTCTCCACTCATTGATGTATCTTGTGGCTGTATTCGAAGTACTATTAATGAGATTAGTTACTCTGACTCTTTGGATGTGACTTGCCTGATCACTTAATTAGGGGAAAGTAGCTGCTCAGTAAGGTATACTGACTCATCGACTTATTCTATTTCGATTAAATGAGTGAGATGTAGACAGGTCAAGTCTGCATCCGAAGTGCCCACGTTTGCAACCCAATGACCTTTAAATTGAACCTATTTCAAAATAATGCATCAGGTTACTAAATTAAATTAGGCCAAGAGAAATCCTCATTGAAACCATCAAGCCGTCTAAACTATCACCATTCTTCGGTAAATAAACACCATTATGATGTAACTGAGCCCTCGATGATATGCTATATATGTAAGGTGTCCTTAACGTCTAATGTATAAACGAAAACACCAGCTATTTGATGTTAAATCATTTTGGTATGAATATGGGATCGGTTGCTAGTCAGCGGCAAGGATTGCTCCATATTACATTAGCACTAGTAAATCAAGTGAAACATGAAGTGGAACTTGAACACTTTAACTGTAAAATGAAAGTGTAATGTAATTATGCAACAGACTTACTTTTACTTAGATGATTCTCATCGAGGAATAAGAGTTTCGCAAATATAAGCTTTAATAATAAGTTTAACCAGGTTTTAAACTGATATGATTGTAAACTCAAAGAGTTTTTATTCAGTATTCTTAGTACATTGGCTAAATACATACTATATACAATCACCATTAGTATAGAAAGAAAGGTTTTCAAGACGGATTAGTTTTTATACAGATATATTTTGTAAGTAAGTAACTGTGACACAAACTCTTTAAAGCCAAGGGCTTATGAAATTTATTTTATTCTAATGTAGCTTTCATTACAATAATGGGTTTCAGAGGTTTCGTAAGTTACATTTCATCAGCAAAGGAACTAATCAACTTAGATTATCAACAACGTTTTCTAAGAGATACTTATGTGTACATTTGATAAAGAATCAATGTCTTAAGTGTTTGAATTTATCAAGTATTAAAAATTTACATGTGAAACTTACTCACAATGATCATAGAAACAGATTTATTGCCTTAAACCCATACTTTGTAGTGTTGATGGTAAAGTTAACACAGTAGTTGCCATAGAAGTAGTTTCAGTTCCTGTTCCACCACCAGAACTATCTTCATCACTTTCTTCACTTTCACTTGGAGCTTCTAAACCAGAGTGTAAAGTTAATTGGATAGCTCTTGATAAACTAACAGCTGGATAATAAATTCCACTTGGTAAGTTAGTAAAAGCTATTGGACCATGTGGTTGATCATTTAAATAATACGATAAACTGCCTCGATTACAATCTAATCGAATACCGACTATACTTCCAGCGTGTATTCCACCATCTGTACGTTCAAAATGTTCACCATTATGCAGGAACCAACTTCTTTTATAATCAAAATAAATTGACCAACTTTTCATATCAAGACCTAAGTATGTAGAAGATAGAAATGTTAATAAGCAAGTATAAATAGTTTTATCAATTAAATTAATATACTAGTTACTAGAATAACTATTATCTTTCAGACTTTTGAATAAGATGTATTACAATGAATTATTTGTTTTTATTCAATAAAACAAACTACCTTTTTTTGTTCATGCTTAAAAAAATGAAAGTTAACGAGTTGGATTACGAGATACTTTGAGTTAATCAGTTTTCCTTCAAACTGGGTATGAAATATAAGGTTAGTTTATACTTTTAAAGGAAAAATAACCCATTTTATCTAATAGAAACGGAACTACTCTTACCCCTTCACTAAAATCTGAGTAGTGTTTAGTAACATGAGATATAAAATTTACTATGCTCAGAAAAAAACTAATGTAAACTAATAGTGCATAGGAGCCAGTATGTCAACAGAGACTGATCATTTCAGTCCAATCAACGACGGTGTAATACAAGCAATAATACTAAAGTTATACTCATCACACAAGAAGTGGCTATCGTGGCTTGGTGGTGTAGTGGATAACGCTCTCGCGTTTGAAGCGATCGCTCCCTAGTCCGAGTCCCAGTGGGAACAACATCACTCACTAGGAGACAGGTACATCCAACTGACGAGTTCCAAATAGGATGAAATGCGCATCCTGCACTACTCTGCTAATCACTGAAACCAATGTAACATTGTGAATATCCAGCAGTATCGAGACATCCGCATAAAAGCCAATTTGCTAACAGAGGTTAAGCAACTCGGTCTTGTATAGCGATGGAAATTACAAGTATCATTACAACAGCTAGCAGTGCTGTTCTTGGAAAACATTTGCAGCGAAATAAAGGGACATAAGTTTTCGTTATGTCAAAATTTTAATGCGTATTTCTGTCCCCTCTGTGATCTGGCTTAAGTACTTCAAAGATTGTTCCTCTGGTATGTGATCAAATAATTTCTCAAAAACGCATTTTTATGTTCTTTGTAATAAACACTCACTTACTTTTGAGTATGTATTCATCACGGACTGACATTAGTTGGGGAACTGCTGTAAACCTAGGAGGACTATACTGCTATTTCGTCCTGGAAGGGGACTCCTCAGCTGTATACATCAGTACTCTAAGGTTTTCAACGGTTCTCCAAATGGTCTCAGTCCATGATGATTAAAACCTTTAAAAATAAAATCCCATAACCCTCAGTCTAGTGTTTTAGTTTGTCTCTAAGATAAAATTGACTGGATCAAAGTTAAAAATCTTAAAATATCGCTTCATCATTCATTTTAATGAAATTTTTTTCAAGAAAACAAAGAGAATATTTAGTTGGAATTTAATAAACATATTTCATGCATTTAAACTCTTTGATAAAGTTGAACAAATCAAGAAGGAATAGATTTTCAGAATAAAATAAATCTTAGTTCATAAATATTTCTCAGCTGTTACATACTGTCTGAAAGTATGTTAGTTATTAGGATATAAGATATTTCAAAATTAGGAAAGTAATAATCTTTAATTGTACAACGAAATCATTGATAATGCATATAACGTGTAAAAAAAAACTAACTGTACCTTGATAAGAAAAACTATAGCAAAGAAATGAACAGAGAGTTAGGTGACAAAAATGAAACAGGATCAAATCATAGTCAACAGGGGGGGGTGAGAGACTAACAATCCTCTCTTTCTGTATAGAAAGATCAGATTGAAAGAGTTTTCTAGCAATCGCTTCTGTGAAGCACAGTAATCAGGATAACCTATGCACGTTTATTATTTTAAACGCATTTGACGTTTCAACCTGATTTTTGGTGACTATGAGACGTCTGGCTATTGCAAAGGTTCGAATTGTACTCCCTTTTGAGCACAGATTCTTGGGGATATATTCAACAAACCGAATGGATACTCTTCTCTAACTCCTTCCAATGTACTGCAAGTTCATTTGAATTCATAAATACAGTTCGACATGACATGAGCAGGGTATTATCATTGGAAAATCTACCCATGAATCTGATTGGTTTCTAACCATTCTAGTTGTTCATTAGCATATTTTTTCTGTATGACAGTTTTTAGATACCTATGGTTAGAATATCTAAGGTCGAAAAAGAAAACTTTGGTCTTGTTAGAATTCTAAGTATTTTCACCTTACGTTTAGTTCATTTCAGTTTTGATAACACTGAAAAGAAAGTTTACTCCTGTGAACTATGTTACCTTCACTTATTATTTTTCCTTTGGGTTCTTAGTGGAACATACAGCTTCAGTAGCATGTCTCCATTCCACTCTGTTCTCTGCAACCTTTTGAACCTGGTTCCACGACTGCCCACAACCTCTCATTTCTTCGTCATACGATCTCCTCCATGTCACCCTCGCCTCCGACGCCCAACTCGCCGTTTCCCATCTGAGTTCCACTCGAACAGCTGGCCTGGAGCGTGATGTCCCCGAATGGTCTTCTCAGTTCATGCGCAACCCATCTCCGCTTCTTTCCAGTGCATATTTGTTGAGCGATAGGTTCTTGGTTGGATCGTTACCCAGCCAGAGTTCCTTGTTGCTTATTGTTTCTGGCCATCTGAACTTAAGTATCACTACCAAATGAGTTTTATTTTTGTTTACAGTGAAATATTACAAAACAATTAGGATGAGTCATACACATAATTCGGTCATTTTAAGCGCTCTCATCAGTGAATATGGCTTCAAATTTTTTTCATAGTCTTATCAGTTATCTTTTATAATTTCTCATATGACTCAGAAATACAGGAAATGATTATCTCTATAGGTCTATGTCACGCAACAGTAACTAATCAATTTGACAAAAAATATTTTCTTAATCAATCTAATATAATGATGAAGTAATAACTACTGCGGTCTTGATGATTATACCGATGTTGTGGGATGCTTTACAACTTCGATGTACAATCACTCTGTTTTTGTGGTATCAGTATTCACCCAAGAAAACAAGGACACATATATAAACAGACGACAAAATGTGTGTGTCTGAGAGAGAAGTGGATGTATAACAAAGAAGGGAGGAAAAGAACAAAACACCTTTTGTCCTATTTGAGACCCGTGATCTGGATATACCTGCCTCCATTGAGCAATTTTATTTCCGCTAACACTCGATTACTTCAAATGCCACAGCATTACTCATAGGCCATAGAGTAACAATAGTCACTCCTTGTGCGATTAGGCTCCTACGCGGGTGCCTCAACATTGCTTATGTTTGAGTTATCTATTAGTGATATATAGTGGCTGATAGTGGAATCCAGGAGATGTATTTCCTCATATTTGGGACCCATAAATTAGTCCCAGTAGACCTATAGATGACAAATCCAGAATAAAAAGAAAAGCGCATCTTGAATTCCACTGCTAGACACTATTCATATTTACTATAAAACACCAGTTTCCCTCCAAATTTTAAATAAGGAAGAAAAAAGTATTAAAAATTCAATGTTTAAACTCTCTTGACTAAGAAGAAAATTTCATAGGTAAAACAATAATAAGAATTAAGGCAGAAATTTACAAACAAGAGAGAAAAGAGGAATAAAAGCTTTTGATCCAGTATAGTAACATTGAATAATGCATTTTAACATCTAAAAATAGATGAATGGCTTTTTAAATTGAACTTTATTTACATAAAAATATAATGAAGGCGAAGCAAAAAAAAAATGAAGAGGCAGAGAAGAGGGATGGGATTCCCTAATTCTTGAAATAAAATACTAACTAACTTAAAAGTAGTAAAATACTTTTCTATTCTTCAAGTGTGTAAATAAAATAGAAAAAAAAGCGTCAACCTTTCCATCATTGATGTTTACTTTAATTATTAGATAATGAAATTTCACTAGTAAATAAATTGTTAAAGAGTGTAAGAAAAAATCCCAATTAACTAAAATATAATATGTAAAAAAAAAAGGGATAATATATTCCTAAGAGTATTTATTCCTTTTTCATTGAACACAAAATATCCTTTCAATATGGATTCAAGTAGACAAATCTGCGTGTCTAGGGAATCGGTGAGTCATTATTCATTAGGAAATTAACTTCACTGAGTCTTTCGTTCGATTAAATACTGGCAATAATAGTAATATATTTTTATTGTTATCAAATTTTATGATAGTAATAATAATAATAATAATAATAATGTGTATATAAAAAGCTGAATCATCTTTCAATGAGATAAAGTTTTGTTTTTTAAACATTATTGGTATTTCCTTTTTTCTTTTTAACTCTTCTCCTGCTTTATGACCTTGAAGTTTCTTCCTATAATCAAGGTGATTTTACAAGCTACTTCATTTAAAGAAGAAAACACAATTTTCGAATATTCTTACAAAAAGTTCATTTTAATCAATCAGTTTCTTATCAGTTTTGTAGATATTATAGTAAATTATCCTGGGCGCCATTATAATTAGTGTTACCGGTTAGTAAGTAGGATATTAATTAATGTGAAAAACAGGGTGAACATTCAGTTTTGTTCGCTATAACGGGCATTTTCAAGCTGAGAACACGTACTTGACCTCTCTCTTAGTGAACTTACTATAGGCGTAGCAAAATTATATGTGATATCTGTTAGGCGTTATAAGATTGTTTTTTCTTCTAGTCAATCGAACGATATAGCAAATATTCATTTCATTTTCAAGAGACTATTTGAATCACTTCCACATGAGAAATAAATAAAGAAAATCTGATCTATATAGGTTAGTTAGGGACAACTGGCGGGAAGCCCTTGACTTAGGTTGTGTGGTTGTTTGCAGTTGCCACCAAAGCATATCCGCAACCTAAAAAAATTGGTTTCTCCTCTGAGATTGGAACCTTCACAACTCGGTATTGTAGTCAGTGACTTTACCACTAAACTATCTGAACCGCGTTCTTCCTCCTGTAGTACCAGATTAGAAACAGTGACCAGTCAATGAAAAGCAACCAATTTTTTGTCGTCCAGTCTTGAGTGCCGACCTAATTCTATGCATCATTTTGCACTGCGGCCACCAAGATATACAGGTCACTACCCTGAGTCATTTTAATTGATGTTAG